TCCCTTGCTATCACAAAACAGCGGCGTAGCAACCTTTTGCTCATGGCCAATCTCCTCCAACAGCCTCCTCAGCCAAATCACCTCCTTCACCCCATGGAACATCGCCATGTACTCTGATTCCACGGAAGAGAGTGCTGTCTCCGTCTGCTTCTTTGACCTCCAACTAACCGGTCCTCCCCCAACTACGCAGATGTATCCTCCCACAGATGAGGAATCCTCCTTCTCAGAGGCCCACGTAGCATCAGTAAAGCAAGTGAGAAAAAGCTTGCCTTCTCCAAGCCTCTCCCCCTTCTCTTTCAGCACCTCAACCCCTTTCTGCTTCACCTGTGAGGATGCGGAGTATTGAACTCCAATGCTTGGGTGAGAGTTCAGATACTTCACCACACGCTCAGCTGCATCCACCTGCTCCTCTGATGGATTCTGCACTACCCTAGCCAGCTGCCCAACCGAGAAAGAGATGTCGGGTCTCGTGTGAACTGCTGCATACAAGAGGCTGCCCACCAAGGACTGAAATTGCTGCTGCTCCTCGGCTTCAACCCCTTCATCCTCTGCAGTTTTCACAAGCTTGAATTCTGCTGGCAGGGGAGTTGCAACCTTGCGCTCATTCTCAATTCCGTACTTCTTCCCAAGCTCCTTGATGAACTTCTCCTGGTGCAGCTTCAACCACCTGTGATCCAGATCCCTCTCCACGTGCATCCCGAGGTAGTACTTTACCTCCCCAAGGTTCTTGCACTTGAAGTTCTCCATCAGCTGCTGCTGCACCTTCTGGATCTCCTTCATGCTGCTGCTAAAGAGAAGAATGTCGTCCACATAGACCAGAAACAGCACCAGCTTCTCCCCCTCCCCCTTGAGAAAGAGGCTCTCATCACAGCTGCTGGTCTTGAATCCCATCTCCTCTAAAACAGCTGCCAACTTCTGGTACCAGCAGCGTGGCGCCTGCTTCAAGCCGTAGATAGACTTTTTCAGCTTGCACACCCTGCCCGTACCATCCTCATACCCAGGCGGCTGCGTCATGAACACCTCCTCCTCTAAAATCCCATTGAGGAATGCCGTTGATATGTCCATCTGGATAATGAACTTCCCACTAACGGCTGCATCTGCCAACAAGACACGAAGGGTAGGGGGTTTGGCAGTGGGAGCAAAGATCTCATTGAAGTCCCGCTTCTCCTTCTGCATAAACCCCTTAGCCACCAACCTACTCTTGTAGATGGTGACCTGCCCCTTGTCGTCAGTCTTGATCCTTAGCACCCACTTGCATTGTACCGCTTTCTTTCCCTCAGGCAGCACCACTAGTTCCCAAGTCCCATTCTCCAGCAGGCTCTAGTACTCAGCATCCCTGGAAGCTAGCCATTTGTCCCTATCTGGTCCAGCTAATGCCTCCTCCATGCTAGCTGGTTCCTCTGGTGCAGGGGCAAGAAAACAGTACGCAGGTTGATCCTCCTCATCCGGGTCATAGCCATGCGGTAGAATCAGCAATGCCTCCTCGGTCCCAAGCTGCTGCTCCGCTACATCAGCTCCTGCAGTCAGCTTCTTAGTAGCCATACGGGTACGTCCTGGCCTGGAGACGGGTGTCTCCCATCCCTTCATAATAACACCCTTCGGCTTCTTAGTTTTCCCCTGCTGCTGCTCTCCTCCCTCGAATCCAGCAGCTCCACTAGTGCTACCGCTAGTCTCCACACCATCACCTCCACCAGCAGGTGCCTCCTGCACCTTCTCTTTATCACCACCCTCTGCAGCTGCCTCCTCTCCCTCCTCCCACACACTAGGAGTCAGGTCCAGCTGCATGGTAATCTGCTCCATCTGCTGGGACACCCTGGCCTCCGGCTGTTTCTCCCAGCTCCCATACATCATGCCCTCAACAAACTTCACATCCCTGCTGTCAAACAACACACCCTTGGAAGGCTCCCACAGCAGCCATCCCTTGCTCTCAGCAGCCAGCCCCAAATGCACACACCAGATTGCACTCGCCCCCAACTTACTGCGATAGGTCTTGGGAACGTGGGCGACTGCCATGCAACCGAACACCCTCAGCATGTCCACCGGCGGCTTCCTACCAAGCCACCTCTCCAACGGCACCCACGAGTCATCCCCAACCGGTACCTCCTTGTTGGTCGTTGGAGTCGTCGTCTTTCTTTGCACCGCGTCCAGCACCACCGAAGCCACGTCCTTTGCCACGTCGGCTCCCTTGCATCCCGTAGCCGCTGCTGCCGTCGTCTCCACCCCTCAGTTGGCGGCGACGGAAGTCCTCCTCCAGAATCTTCGTCCGCACCCACTCGAGTGTCCACAAGCTCTGGTTCTGCGGCAGGCTCAATCCGCTCTTAAATTGAAGCCACGATTCCGGCAGCAGCGAGAGCATCTTCAAGCACTTTTTTTGCTCCGGGTAGGTGATTCCTTCAGGAAGATTGGGACGAGCGCGCCTCGGCTGGCTACTACTTGATGTCGCAGAGTTTGGAGCTGAACCAGCGTCAGCATGTCATGCACCTGTTGCCGGAGGTTGAGTGCGGTCCGAAGGCGTGGACCGTGTTGAAGGAGCTGCACGCCCCGACCTCCGTTGTTGCAACATTGATGCTGGAGAGGGAGCTGTCCGCGTTGCGCCTGAGCGAGGGAGAGACGGTGCAACCTGTCCTGGACAAATTGCGCGACCTCTACGCAAAGTTGGCGACCGCAGGAATCACCTACCCGGAGCAGACCAAGTGCCTGAAGATGCTCTCGCTGCTGCCGGAATCGTGGCTTCAATTCACGAGCGGATTGAGCCTGCCGCAGAACCAGAGCTCGTTGACACTCGAGTGGGTGCGGACAAAGATTCTAGAGCAGGACTTCCGTCGCCGTCAACTGAGGGGTGGAGACGACGGCAGCAGCGGCTACGGGATGCAAGGGAGCCGACGTGCCAAAGGATGTGGCTTCGGTGGTGCTGGACGCGGTGCAAAGAAAGACGACGACTCCAACGACCAACAAGGAGGTACCGGTTGGGGTCGCGGTGCGAAATCTGGACGTGGGGGCAAGTCGGGTGCTGGTGGCAAAATGAAAGGGAGTTGCTGGTATTGTGAGAAGGAAGGGCACCCCTGGTTTTTGTGCTAAAAGAAACCCGATGGATGGACCCCCCAGAATCGTCACCAGGATGGCGGCGCGCGGAGGAACCAGAAAAACGGCGCCAACATGGTCGCTGATTCGTCCGACAACAACCCGAAGGGCAACGGCGGTGCGGAGAAGAAGAAGGAGCGCACCGCGGGCCAATTCTTCCATATGGGAGACAAGGGGGTGCAAGGAGACGCCTCTGCCAAGGTTGGAGCAGAGCTGCACCCCCTGGATTATTGGGTGTTGGACATGGGCGCTGCTTGGACGATGACGCCGCGCAAGGACCTGCTGGACCACGTACGCGCTGCACCGATCAACGAGGTGTGCTCCGCCTCTGGACACGCGCTGAAGGTGGCTGGTGCGGGACGAGTTGCGTTTAAGGGAGCGGATGGCAAGCCGGTGGTGCTGCACGACGTTGTCCTCGTTCCTGAACTCAAGGCCAACCTCATCTCCCTTCGTAAGCTTGGCAAGGCTGGGGTGAGCACTAGCACGGATGGGGCACGCCCTTACAAGGGGCAGCTGGGCAATCGGGTTCTTTGGGATCTGCACGAGAGCACGGACGTGTACAGATCCATGTGGCAGCTGCCGGCGTTGACGTGGCATGGCTGGGGGCAGGCTGGAGAGGGGTTTGCATCCCAGGGGGAGTGCAATGCCGTTGGAGGGGTTGGTGTGAAAGTGTCGGCCAGATCTGGGGAGACAGATTGGGCAACGGCACACTGACTCTTGGGGCATATGGCAATGCCCTTGTTGAAGCAGTTGGAGAAAGATGGAGCCGTTAAGGGTCTGAAGTTGAACGGACAGCCACCTGATGAGAATTTTGAAATCTGTTTGCTCTCAAAGTTTACCCATTTCCCTTTCCATAGTGTGGCTGGCAGGAGCAAGAAGCCTTTAGAGTTGGTCCACATGGACTTGGTGGGGCCGCTGCCGGTTCAGGGGCACAAGGGGGAGCGGTACTTTCTGACCATAGTGGATGATTGGAGCAGGCTTATGTGGGCATATCCGTTGAAGCAGAAGGACCATGCCGCCTCTACGATATGGGAAGATTGGCTGCTATTCGTGGAGAAGCAAGTGGAGTGTGGGGTGAAGCGGATTAGGACAGATCAGGGTGGTGAGTTCCTTGGAGCTGAGATGACGGCCTGGCTCAAGAAGCAGGGCATCTAGAGGGAGCTGACCACGGCTCATGTTGGTGCAACCCTACGGTTTGCACTCGGCTTGTTGTCCGTGTGCGTGCATGTGTGTGTGTATGGAATGGTATGAGGGCATGGGATAATATATATTTCATGCTTATAATTGTGTGTGAATATTGAGTTATGATGTCGAGTGTGTGTGTCGAGTCAATAGCGAGTTATCGCTAGACGCGTGTTACGCGGTCGTTTGTGTCTCGCGCGCGGTTTCTATTTTTGTCGCGCGCGGTTTCTATTTTGTCCTGTGTCGAACGTTCGGTGTGTCGCAGGTGTGTGCAGCAGACCCATCAAGAACTCAAGGATGAGTTTGTGATGAAGAGCCTGAGCCTTGGTGTCAAGCCTCAAGTTATTTGGAAGCTCGCCAAAAAGGGTACACCTCAAGATATTGAAGATAGTTACATTACTTTGTGTAGTGTAACATTTCACTTGGTGTAGGCCCTAGTGAAGGGTAGTTTCGAGACCCTTCGTGGTTGGGGACAGTGTGGCACTGTTCCACATCACTGTACCTCGGCTCTTGGGGTTCATAGGAGCTAGGAGTCATTCCCAACTCGTAACTCTTCATATCTCTTCCTATTTTGTGTTCTAAGACTATAGTGGCTGCCATAGTGCCGTTCGTTCAGACCAACACTGTGTCGTCAATACTTGGTGAAATTGTGCGATCTAAATTGCCTATTCTAGGCCACATTTAGACGCTCCAGATCCAAGTTGAATCAAGTCATTTGAAACTGTGACCACAACGCCATGAACGTTTGAAGCTGCTGTGCAGAAATCCGGCTGTGCACTCTATCTTTCGTTTTAGGCACATTGGAGCCTTTTGTGACTATAACAAGTGGTATCAGAGCCCCTTGGAGCAGTTTCGACAATGGCTGGACCTGAGGAAAGGGGTGGGCAGAGGTGCTGGTGGCAGAGGAGAAGCCCAAGCTCAAGGCCAACCCCGTGATTCAGCCATGGCGCCTGTGCAATCAAGTGTTGGCCCATCTAGGGATGAGCCTAGAGTGTTTGGCCTTGACAAGTTCAATGGTGACAACTTTGCTCTGTGGTCCTTCAGAATGGAGATCATATTTGACCACTATGACCTGCTGGAGGTAATGGAAGGAACGGAGAAGCGTCCCGAGAACGACCCGGAGAATAGCCCGTGGGTGTCGAAGAGCGCACAAGGCTACCTCCTACTTGGGCAAGCGTTGGGGAGCAGCCAAATCCGTCACATCAAGCCTTTCCAGCGTGAACCAGAGAAGGGACCAAAGGCATGGGCTGCTCTCAAGGGTGTACACGCTCCTGCAACAGCGGCGATAGCTGTGGTGTTAGAACGACAAATGGCGACACTACGGATTGAAGAGGATGAAGCGGTTGAAGAAGGGGTGCAGAAATTCTTCGACTTGTTGACGCGGCTTGAGGGAGCTGATTTGAACTATAGTGAGCTCCAAAAGAAGACCAAGTTGCTGGCCCTACTCCCTGAGTCATGGTCCTCGCTCATCATCAACCTTAATCGCGATTTGCCCCGCCTCTCGCTTGAAGACGTGAAGCGAGCTATCCTTCAAGAGGATTTCCGCCGCTGTGAGTTGGTGAGTGCGGATGGCGCTGAGGCAGCGAGCATCAGCCATGGATATGGTCAGGGAAGAGGTAGAGGACGAGGGGGAGGAAGGTTTGGTGGCAGCAACTTCGGCGGAGGCGGCGGGAGTGGCGGTTACGGCAGCGACGACAAGAGCTACGGACGCGGTCGCGGCCGATTCGACGGCGAGTGTCACTATTGCCACAAGAGAAGACACATGTGGCGCGACTGCTACAAACTCCCTGATGGTTGGACCCCTGATCAAGCCCAAGAGGGAAGAGGAGCAGGAGGAGGGAGAGGAAGAGGCCGTGGAGGCCGTGGCGGTCGCGGTGGCGGAGCTGCAAACATGAAGAGCGGAGACAACGACAAGGACCTGAGCAACGATCAGTACCCGGATCTAGTCTACTTCGTTTCGACGCAAGTACCGACTGGTCCAGAGAAGGATGAAGGCTTTGAGGAGCCAGCAGCTGTGGGGAAGGTGACTCTACACCCTCTGGACTATTGGGTGATCGATAGTGGCGCTACCTATAGCATGACACCTCACCCGGACATGCTCACCAAACTCGAACCGTCACCGGTGAAGCATGTCACATCAGCTTTGGGGCAGCGAGCGGAGGTGAAAGGCATGGGCAAGGCCATGTTTAAGGGTGCTATGTTGGTGTAAGGACCTAATAATCTCAAGCTATTAAGACTTTATCAAACTTAAAACCTCTCCTCGGGGTCACCTCCAAGGGTCCTTGGGTGCCTGGTACAATACCAGCCCCTATCCTCGGGTCCGAGTTTGTAGAGAGAGGGATCAAGAGGGACTAAGTCAAAACAGCAAGAGTACCTTGAACGTCGCGCAGCGTATCGTGCAGACCGTCGATCGGATTAAGCTGAGAATTTCCTATATCGAAGCTCACTCTAAGAGCTTTAAAATAAGCCCAGTTGCCTCGCGAAAAGTTCTGCCATTACGAAGTTATGGCTCGGACAGTGTTAGCCTAGCGTTGGAGTGCTAGCGTACTAGCGTTGACTCGGGTAGCATTCCGCCGTCGCACCGCGTAGAAAGGAAATTCCAGCAAGGAAGGAATTCGCTTGAATCAATTTCACTATATCCAGGAACAAACAAAGAAGGAATAAATAGTTCTAGCTAGCAAGGACCTTGGGAATAAACCTGGGAACAACCAGGGATGATCCCAAATAATTCCAAGCAACAGAACCAACCTGGGTGGACAAAACAGCAGGTGGTAGGTTGGTAAACAACCTCTGGTTCTGTTTTTCCAACCTGGGAAAACAACAACCAGGTTCAGGTCCAAAAAACAGAACCTGTTTTGTCTTTGCCCAACCAGCCAAATGCTGGTTCCGCTGGTTTCCCCTGGCCCTCTAGCATGCAGATACAGACAAACAACATCCAACCTTCACCTAAATTGTACCCCTATAGTGCCTGCCCTACTACACTATAGTCAACCAAACAAACCAGTACAATTTCGAGTTGGATAGAACTGAATCTACGCAAGAATGGTGGGCCTCAAGAATGTGCTTTGGGTGCCCAGCCTTGCTGCCAACCTGATTTCCGTTCGGCGGTTGGCAAAGGCCGGCATGGACACGAACTCAAAGGGAGCCAAGACTTACACCGCAAGGCTTGACGATTGGATTCTTTGGGACCTTCATGAGGACAGAGATGTCTACAACGAGATGTGGCAGATCCCTGTGGTCCCAATGCCTAAGGAGAGGCAAGTGGCAGTAAGCGTCAGCACCAAAGGTGGAGCGGTTGGTAGCGGCGATTGCGCGAGCTTGGTCCAAGAAATGCAATCTTGGAGGGACCAGCAAGCTTGGTGAACCTATGGAGAGAGGTGCGGCAACCAAGGAGCAGCAAAAGGGTGAGGAGAACCCCGAGGCAGCAGCGGAGGAGGACTACGGAGAGAGTATGTGGGGCGCTATTGCGAGCGCGGCATTCTCCAATCCAACTTCGGCTACGGGGGAGTGTGATTGGCTCACCTTGCATCGGCGCATGGGGCATGTGGCCCTGCCCATCTTGCAGCAGCTAGTAAAGAATGAAATGGTTGCTGGCATACGTGTGAAGGGGGAGCCCGATGAGGTACTTGGCTGCCCGACGTGCATGCAAGCCAAGTTCACCCGTTTCCCATTCTCTAGTTCGGAGGCAACATCTAAGGCACCACTTGATGAGGTGGTGATGGACGTGGTGGGCCCCCTGAAGCTTGGAGCTGCTGGAGCTGAGTACTTCCTCACTATTGTGGACGTCTACACCCGTATGACTTGGGCGTACGTGCTGGCCAAGAAGAGCGACGTGGCTGAAACGTTGAAGGCGGATTGGTTCCCGATGGTGGAGCGGCAACAAGACCGTCTAGTCAAGTCAATCCGCACCGATCGAGGGGGAGAGTTCCTGAGCAAGGAGTTTGGGTTGTGGCTGAAGCAGAATGGTATTCGGCACTCCCTCACCATGCTATACTCCCCTGCAATGAACGGCATCGCCGAGCGAGCGAACCGCACAATCACGGAGGCGGCACGCGGGTTGCTCATTGAAGCCGGGCTACCCGACTATTTCTGGCCTGATGCGGTGCGGAGCGCGTGTGTGGCCAAGAACCGAGCCTTGACTCATGTGGGAGCAGACAAATGGGTGCCCTATGTGGAGTGGCTAGGAAGGAAGCCAAAGGTGGATATGCTTCGGGTGTTCAGGTGCATGTGCATGGCGCTCGTGCCTAAGCATCTTCGGCACAACAAGCTAGGTGCCAAGGCGGTGTGGGCCGTGCACTTGGGCATGGCTCAAAACAGCAAGGGATGGCTTCTTTGGGACCCATTCACCAAGAAGTTCTTGGTGAGCAGGGACTGCAAGTTCATGGAGAACTTCATGTACAAAGATTGGAAGGCGGAGAATGAGGCGAAGATAGGCGTGCGGTTTGGGGACGTGAAGAGTTCCGGCTTGGAGCATGTGGAGCTGCCTTTGGAGCTGAGCAGCAGCAGCACAACTGTTGGGTGCAAATTCACATTGCACGACATCCTGCCGTCTGTTTGTACGAGTATGCGTGTGCGAATGCATTTGGGTGTGAATGGTATGTTTGTGTGTTTGTTTGCTTTCTCAATTTTTGCTTGAAGCATTTGCAGGTACTCGCAAAATGTGCGCTTCGGCATAACATTGTACGCGCTATGAACAGTACAAGCAGAAAGGACGAGCTCGCAAAGGAACCCAAGATGGAAGCTTTGCGGTTCAACTTACTTGATTGCGCAGATTCAGTTCTATCCAACTCGAAATTGTACTGTTTTGTTTGGTTGACTATAGTGTAGCAGGGCAGGCACTATAGGGGTACAATTTAGGTGAAGGTTGGATGTTGTTTGTCTGTATCTGCATGCTACAGGGCCAGGGCAAACCAGCGGAACCAGCATTTGGCTGGTTGGGCAAAGACAAAACAGGTTCTGTTTTTAGGACCTGAACCTGGTTGTTGTTTCCCCAGGTTGGAAAAACAGAACCAGAGGTTGTTCACCAACCTATCACCTGCTATTTTGTCCAGCCAGGTTGGTTCTGTTGCTTGGAATTATTTGGGATCATCCCTGGTTGTTCCCAGGTTGATTCCCAAGGTCCTTGCTAGCTAAAGCTATTTATTCCTTCTCTGTTTGTACCTGAATATAGTGAAATTGATTCAAGCGAATTCCTTCCTTGCTGGAATTTCCTTTCTACGCAGTGCGACGGTGGAATGCTACCCGAGTCAACGCTAGTACGCTAGCACTCCAACGCTAGGCTAACGCTGTCCGAGCCATAACTTCGTAATGGCAGAACTTTTCGCGAGGCAACTTGGCTTATTTTAAAGCTCTTAGAGTGAGCTTCGATATAGGAAATTCTCAGCTTAATCCGATCGACGGTGTGCACGATACGCTGCGCGACTTTCAAGGTACTCTTGCTGTTTTGACTAAGTCCCTCTTGATCCCTCTCTCTACAAACTCGGACCCGAGGATAGGGGCTGGTCTTGTACCAGGCACCCAAGGACCCTTGGAGGTGACCCCGAGGAGAGGTTTTAAGTGTGATAAAGTCTTAATAGCTTGAGTTTATTAGGCCCTTACACCAACAAGCTGGTATTAGAGCTGCGTTATAGTGATCCTCGATATAGGTAGCTATGGCGGGCAACACCTCGGCGGTAGCTGGTGAATCTTCAGCCCAAGATCGTAGCGGCAGCCATGATTCTGGTGTTTCTGCGCCAAGGGGAGCGCGAACAAGCCAGGGCTCGCTGATCAAGGAGGTGCTGAAAAACTTCACCGTTGAGAAGTTCAATGGTGAGGGCTATGATGATTGGGCCTGGAAAATGCAACTTTATTTCCGTCAAATCGGATTGCTGAAACTAATGATTGGGGAGGAGCCTAGACCGTGTGACCCCGCCCTTCAGGAAGATTGGGACGAGCACGCCTCCGCTGGCTACTACTTGATGTCGCAGAGTTTGGAGCTGAACCAGCATCACCACGTCATGCACCTGCTGCCGGAGGTTGAGTGCGGTCCGAAGGCGTGGACGGTGTTGAAGGAGCTGCACGCCCCGACCTCCATTGTTGCAACATTGATGCTGGAGAGGGAGCTGTCCGCGTTGCGCCTGAGCGAGGGAGAGCCGGTGCAACCTGTCCTGGACAAATTGCGCGACCTCTATGCGAAGTTGGCGACCGCAGGAATCACCTACCCGGAGCAAACAAAGTGCTTGAAGATGCTCTCGCTGCTGCCGGAATCGTGGCTTCAATTTACGAGCGGATTGAGCCTGCCGCACAACCAGAGCTTGTGGACACTCGAGTGGGTGCGGACGAAGATTCTGGAGGAGGACTTCCGTCGCCGCCAACTGAGGGGTGGAGACGACGGCAGCAGCGGCTACGGGATGCAAGGGAGCCGACGTGGCAAAGGACGTGGCTTCGGTGGTGCTGGACGCGGTGCAAAGAAAGACGACGACTCCAACGACCAACAAGGAGGTACCGGTTGGGGTCGCGGCGCTAAATCTGGACGTGGGGGCAAGTCGGGTGCTGGTGGCAAAATGAAAGGGAGTTGCTGGTATTGTGAGAAGGAAGGGCACCCCTGGTTTTTGTGCTATAAGAAACCCGATGAATGGACCCCCCAGAATCGTCACCAGGATGACGGCGCGCAGAGGAACCAGAGAAACGGCGCCAACATGGTCGCTGATTCGTCCGACAACAACCCGAAGGGCAACGGCGGTGCGGAGAAGAAGAAGGAGCGCACCGCGGGCCAATTCTTCCATATGGGAGACAAGGGGGAGCAAGGAGACGCATCTGCTAAGGCTGGAGCAGAGCTGCACCCCCTGGACTATTGGGTGTTGGACACAGGCGCTGCTTGGACAATAACGCCGCGCAAGGACCTGCTGGACGGCGTACGCGCTGCACCGATTAATGAGGTGTGCTCTGCCTCTGGACACATGTTGAAGGTGGCTGGTGCGGGACGAGCTGCATTTAAGGGAGCGGATGGCAAGCCGGTGGTGCTGCACGACGTTCTCCTCGTCCCCGACCTGAAGGCCAACCTCATCTCCCTCCGTAAGCTTGGCAAGGCTGGGGTGAACACCAACACGGATGGGGCTCGCACTTATAAGGGGAAGCTGGGCAATCGGGTGCTTTGGGATCTGCACGAGAGCAAGGACGTGTACAGATCTATGTGGCAGCTGCCGGCGCTGGCGTGGCACGGTGGGGGGC